CTGCCTGTGCACCGAGGAGGGCCCGCGGGGCGCGCAGCCCGAGTGCCCGCGCCTGCACCCGCGCTGCGTCCACGTCGACACCAGCCAGTGCTGCCCGCAGTGCAAGGAGCGGAAGAACTACTGCGAATTCCGGGGCCGCACCTACCAGACCCTGGAGGAGTTCGCGGTAAGAGGCGAGCTGCGGGGGGAGCCGGCTCAGAGCGCGGGGAGCCCCGCTGGGGACAAGAGGCGTCCTCCGCTCCCCAGAGCTGGGCATCGCCACGCGCCCCTAAGGCCACCTCGCCCATAGCGGCTGGCACTTGGCATTCGCCCCTTTGCCTTCCCGGGACCGGGCTTCTTGGGAGGCCAGGCTCGGAGGGCGCGGCCCGGCCTCCGCTGGCGGCACCTCTAAGGCGAACTTAGCTCTGGCTACTCCTGTAAACTCCTGGCCTTTGACCTGCTCCACCAGCTTTCACACACGGCGATTTGCATGACAGTGCGGGCCATTCAGGGTGTATTCTTAGGCTAATAGCCAGTTAAGGGCGAGTATTCATCTAAATCAGCCATTCCCCTGGTATGTGTTGGGCCCTCCTGAAAATATTCTAAAAATGGAAAGAAAACGCCTGCTCCTTGGACGCCGGGACACAGTGGTCAGCAAAAACCCAGATGCCAGTGCAGGGGTAAAAACCTTCTCTTTTAGGTGAGAACGTGCCAGTGTGAGCAGCAGCCCCTCTGAGTGCCTGTGCACACCAGGCTCCCAGCTGGTTTTCAAACTCGGGTTCACTTAGCTCAGCCTCATGCCATGCTACCAAGTAGGTTATGGCTCCCATCCCCAGGCGTGGATAAGAGGACACGGAGCCACAGGATTGTTAAGTAACGTGATAAAGGCAGCACCCTCTTCAGAAGTAAACTCCTGTGTCCCCCTCAAGGGTTCTACTCCGCTGCGCATGCGGCGACCCCTGCTCCCTGGGTCCCAAAGTCCAGGGAGGAGATGGAGATGCTGCCCAACACACATGCGCTGGCCCGAGTGACCTCCTGGCCCTGAGTGAAAGCCCTGCCTCCCCGCCAGGGGGCCTGGGAGACACCTGCAGGCAGTTCACCCAACCCAACCCCCCAGCACAGGCGCAAGCCAGGCCTGCCTGGCCTCCGCCTGTGGACTGGGAAGGCCAGAGATTTCCTGGCGACAGAAGGCATCCTGGGACCTAGAGCCCCCAAAGCTGAGTGGGAAGAGCAGGTGGGGAGGATCCTGCTGGTCCCCCAGGCCACAGCCCCCGAGAAATGCAGATTTGGGGTGCGCCCAGGGTGGGCCTGCTTGTGAGGAGTTTTAGGATTGAACCCCTGAAGCTGATGCTGTGCAAACAGGAAGCAGGGGGTATAGGTCTGTATTAAAGGAGGACGTGTAGAAAGAACGCTGGGGTTCGGAGTGGGGAACCACGAGTTTCCATCCTGGCTTTGCAGCAGCCAGCCCACGACAGGGACCCAGCCCAGGCCCTCGCGGGGCCTTTATTCTTACCTGTGACAAGGGGGCCAGGCTGCCCCGACGCCTCCTGGGAGTCGATGCCAAACCTGTCTGTCCTCACAGTCCTTGGTTTCAGCCCTTGGAGAAACAAAGAAAACTTTGGTGAGAAACTCCCATGGTCCGGCCGGGCCACACCCCTGAGTCAGCAGGGCCCTGCCCTCACAGTGCTCCCCGAGTCCTGGGGAGCCGGGCAGACAGGGAGGGGGGGGGTGCGGCATTGAGGGCAGAGGCAGAGGTGGCCATGGGCGCTGGCGAGGCCCAGAGGAGGGACTTCCCTGTTGGGGGGGACAGGGCTGTAGGCAGGGAGGGACCCAACGAAACAATTCTCTTGAGGTTTCTGTTCATAAGAAAATCTAAGAGTCATAAGAGCAAAGACACGTGGTTAGTTTTGAATTATTAACGTGGATTGTTGCACTGTATGGAGTTCCATGGCCACTTCTGAAACGTGTCCCAGGAGGTAGGCGGAGGGGTTATTAGCAGTTTAATCTAAAATGCCCAACGCATCACGGAGCAGAAGTCTGTCCCCCTGAAATCCCAGGTAGAGGAGACTTCAAACTCCTGTGCGGTGATTTCTGCCGAGTGGTGGATGCCGCCAGCCTGCCTCTGGGTCAGGGAGGGGCTCCTATTTGACTCCTGCGTTCAAAGTGGGCCACTGAGCGGAATGTGTGTCACACTCCACAGTGGGAGATGGGGCAGCAAAGGGGACTTTGGAAAGAGGACCGTCTTGGGGAAAATGAAAGGGCCAATACCCTATTTTTAGAGCATGAACTGCATCTCTCCCCTTCGACTGGCTCTTCATTCTTCTTTTTTATCTCAGAGAGGAAGGAGGAGTGAGAGAGGAGAGAGAGGAAGGAGCAGAGAGAGAGAGGAAGAGAGAGAGAGGAGAGAGGGAGAGAGAGAGAGGAGAGCGGGAGAGATCAACATCAATGATGAGAATCATGGCCTGACTGCCTCCTGCACGCCCCCCAATAGGGATCAAGCCCGCAACCCAGGCCTGTGCCCTGACTGGGAATCAAACCCTGACCTCCTAGTTCATAGGTCAGTGCTTAACCACCGAGGCACACCGGCCAGGACTGCCTCTTCATTCTAACTTCTGTCCAATTGCTGTCACCGTGAGCTGTCCCAGCAGGCATGTTGGGAAGCTGCTGGGTCCTTAGCTCCGTGCCTGCCCTGCAGACGCACACTGCGTGCTGACTGCATTGCGGGATAGACCCTGCCTGCTCCTTCCTGTTAGCATCGGAACATCTCCACGCGTTTCCCTAGCTCAGTGGGCTTTGTGTCCGTCAGCTGGTGGCTGTATTTTGGTTTCCCTTCGCGCCGGGAGAGGGGTGTGGGAAGGATGGCTGTGGAAGAGTCAAGGGTGGGCCCGGAGCCCACGGGGTCCCTGGTTTGCGACAATGGAGACTTGTCATGGTGCCAAGTGCCAGGACACAACCACGGCTTGCACGCCTGCTCTGGGGATCCTGGGCTCAGAGCAAGAACTCACAGCCTGCGGGGTGCACGGCCCAGGGCGTATGGGAAATGGAGAGGAGCGCAGGTCCTGCCTACTGGGGTATTGGGTCAACAATCTGGCCAGGCTGTGAGCACCGGTTCCTTCGCGTAGAGGGAAGGAGGGGAAAGGGAGGCTGCCCGTGGCCTGTTTCCCGGGAGGCACTCAGGCGCGGGGCCGCCTGCTCTCTGTTTCTCCGGGAGGAGACTGTGGTGGGGGGGCTGTGGTCTTCGGGGAGGAGCCTAGAACCTGTGCCTGGGAAGTGCCATGGCCCTGCCTTCGGTGCTTCTCCTTCTGGGGCGCATGTCCGCTGGCTGCCCTCCGCCCAGGGCTCCCTGTACTTCAGACCCGCCTGCCCCACCGCTCCATGTCCCTCACCCCAGGGGACCCCATCCCTCACAGCCTGGCTGACCTCAACCCTGTACCAACCAAACCCCACTAGGTACTGACGGCACTGAGGGGGTATCCTCGTTTGTCCAGGACGTGCGCGGCTTTGCTGGTTTGTCCAACTCAGAACCCAGCCGCATGGAGGGTGTCCCCGCTGCCTCTCCCATTGGACCTGGTCCCGTGCTCACCCGCACCTGCAGGCGCCCAGCTCTGACAGGGAGGCCTGCCCGTTGGGTCACGCTGTTTAGGAGTGAGTGGTATGTCCACGCACCGTCTGCCTCCCCGGGCGTGTGCCTGGGTGAGGGCTGCCCTGACCAAGTACCGCGGCCAGTGGCTGGAGCTCGGGCAAGGCCTGGAGCACAGCCCTGCAGGCTGGGAGGCCCAGCTCAGCTGTGGGTGGGCAGGCTCCTCCCGAGGCCTCTCCTTGGCGAGCAGGCGGCGTTTCCTCCCTGTGTCCTCAGCGGGGCATCCCTCTGCGTGTGCCGTGTCCGCGTCGCCTTTGCTTATAAGGACACTGGCCATGCTGGGTTGGGGCCAATTCCTATGACCTCATTTTAACTTCCTTCCCTTAAAGCAGCGGTTCTCAACCTTCCTGATGCCGCGACCCTTTAATACAGTTCCTCATGCTGTGGTGACCCCCAACCACAAAATTATTCTGTGGCTACTTCATCACTGTAATTTTGCTACTGTTATGAATCGTCATGTAAATATCTGATATGCAGGATGTATTTTCATTGTTACAAATTGAACATAATTAAGCATAGTGATTAATCACAAAAACAACATGTAATTATATATGTGTTTTCTGAGGCGACCCCTGTGAAAGGGTTGTTTGACCACCAAAGGGGTCGCGACCCACAGGTTGAGAACCGCTGCCTTAAAGGTGCCTATATCCAGTCCCGCTCGGAGGTGGAGGTGGTAGAACTGCAGCATCTGGATCTGGGAGGGGAGACAGAGTCCCTGGCCCTCGTTGACCTCATAGGTGTGAGCCCAGTGGATAAGAGCAGCGTGCTCGGGAGGGTGAATCGCTCGGGGAGGGTGATGGTGAGCCCGACGGGGAGTGTTTTAAAGGAGGCACGGAGGGAGGGCAGTAAAGCGTCGGCCTGGGACCGTACCTCGGCAGCCCAGGAGCCCTCCAATTCTGCCCGAGCCATCCTGAGCAGCACTGCAGGGTGCGTGACCCAGGTCACTATGTTTGGGTCCTTGTAACTCACGGGCAACTCTGACAGGCTCTACCGAGCAGTTTTTAATTCACCCCAATGACTACCAAGCAGGCCGGCAGCAAATCAAACTGGAAATTCATTGATAAGACATAATTCCATTTTGAACAACAAAAGGATTGTTCCCCCGGGGGCATCCCGGCCCCTGGGGGAGGTGACCATAGAAACGGGTCTGCACGCTGGGCTCAGTGTCCTATGGGAGCTGGTGGGACTTAGGCAGCTCCCGCGATAAGGCCGCGCAGGACACGGCTCCCCATCGCTTTGCTGTGGGTGTGATGGGACCCGCTCACTGTGTCCACACTGGGTTCCTAGCTGATCGGGAGCTCTGATCGGCACGTGTACACGTCTCTGGAGAAAAAGGGCCAATGAATTATTAATAAGTGCTGCTCGCAGGGCTGTCTTTCACAGCTTGAGGACTGGCGACGGGGAGATAACGGCAAGAGTGGCAGCAGGTGACATGCCCGGGGACCACTGAGTCACACACACCCTCCGCTCTGGCATCAGCGTCTGACAGCCACTAACCCTGCCGCCACTAACCCTGCTGCCACATCGCGTCTGGAAGTTTGTTAATG